ACTGTACCTACACCACGTGAAGCGGCTCTAACAAAGCATGATGACGTCATAATGTTTATCAATTGGCACCAATGACGTCATATTGCAAGGGGCATAAGCCATGGTGTTATTGTTATGGAAATAGAACACTTGGTAAATGTAAAAAATATAAATCGTTTTAATGCAAAAAATATGTTAATTAAATTTGATGTTTTTATATTTTTGTCTATGACACTTCTGTGTTAACACTTTTAATGTGGAAAAAGTACAAGAAAAATTGGTTCATTTCCGTGTGAACTTGCCCTTTAAAGCGTTGGCTCGTCACACTGAAGACTTGGATTAATTCGAATCCCCACATGGGTACAATGTATGAAGCCCATTTCCCGGTGTCCCCCGTCGTGATATTGCGTTTTATTGCTAAAAGCTTCGTAAAAGTACGGAAGCCTTTAAGGGCTATTTGTTTTTGTTTTTTTGTTTTTTCGATACTATGTTGAAATTTCAAGAGACCAAGTTGAAATTTCAAGATATTATCTTGAAATTTGAACTTAGTGTGTATCTTGAAATATTAAGTTAGTATCTTGAAATATTAAGTTAGTATCTTAGTACCAATTTCAACTTAGTATCTTGAAATTCAACTTATGTATCTTGAAAATTCAACTTAGTATCTTATAATTTCAACTTAGTATCTTGAAATTTCAACTTAGTATGTATCTTGAAATGTCAACTTATTATCTTGTAGATAACCCTGTAGATATAGAGGATGGGAACCGCTTCTGCTCTGGAATAATTCACTACGTGTTGTATTAGTGAGTGCGTATAGTTTTACGCCGCTTTAGCAATATTCCAGCAATATCACGGCGGGGGACACCAGAAACGGGCTTCACACATTGTACCCATGTCGGGAATAGAACCCGGGTCTTCGGCGTGACGAGCCAACGCTTTAACCACTAGGCTACCCGACCGCCCCGTTTTAACATAACTTTGATGTTAGCCTTGTTTTTGGATTAAACAGCGCTGATGACGATACCTTTTAGTCACACATCACACCACTGACCTTGTCAAGTACAACACGCGGGGCGGCGGGGTTGCACAGGGGTTAAAGAGTTCGCTCGTCACGCCGCAAGCCTGGGTTCGATTCTTCACATGGGTACAATGTGTGAAGCCCATGTCTGGTGCTAAAAGCAGCGTACAACTATACTCACTCACTCACTTTGTTAAAGCGCACGGGGTTTCTACAATTTCAGTTGTTTTAACTTGTAGTTATAACACTGAAGTCACGTGTATAGAAAGGGAATTCCACCGCGACGTATGATTACTTTAGGTCTTTCAATCTTCGGGTATTGTTCGATGGCTTCTTTAATACCGTGTTTGCGGGTTCGCTGTTGAAACACATACCTGCATGGTCCCCGGGACGATCAGGGGGGAAATGGATCCAGCGACCCGTCCAAAGGCGACTAACGGGATCGAGTGTTCAGGGTCGCTGACTTGGTTGATGCACGTCGTCGTATACAACTTGCTCAAGATGCTCAAGATGTCAATCACTGGATTTTCTGGTCCAGACCGCCGTCATATATAGCTAACTTGAATAGTGCTGAGTGCGGCGTTACCACCACAAACAAACACACATATCTGCATGGGTGTTAATCAATGATTTACAGCATATGCTAAGATATTGAATCCCCTTCACTCACATTGTTTCATTATAATAAGATGGTGGTTAGGGTCTTCTGATACACCGATCGTGTTGGACGTTGCGCACAACATCAACCTATTGGTATGTCGCGTACACACAGACTTGACCGCCTCCGTGGTCTAGTGGTAGAGCGTCCGCCCGGAGAGCGGAAGATCAGGGGTTCGATCCCCGGCCGCGTCATACCAAAAGACGTTTAAAGATGGTACTTGTTGTTATCCTGTCGCGCTCAGCATTAAGGGGCTAAAACAAGGACTGGTCGGCTCGGAGTCAGTATACTGTGTCTGACTGGGGTATTCATGTTAAACTGGGGCATGGTATCTCAGTGGGCAGGCACTATAAATCGATATTAGTCCGGTCTAGCACACACACACACACACACACACACACACACACACACACGGCGTCGCTATATATAAATGCCATAATCTTGGATGCGACGAACATTTCACCTAATCTCACAGACACGACTTACACGCAGACAGCCTTGACATTGCTGGAATATTGGTGACCGTGGCATAAAATAACAAACATTATAAAACAAATGGTTATTACAATTTGAGGTAGCCTCGATGTCATGTCTGAGTGTTCAACTCATGTTTCTATTGCATTTGTAACGTGCATACTCAAAATATCGTCTTTTTACCTGCCTGGGAGTTCGTATTAAAACTTGTTATGTTAAACTGAATTTTGGGAAATCACGAAATTGTTCAAGTATATATATATATATATAAAGACGGACGTTAGAGTCAACATGTCCACTGTGCAATTTATGCTGAGTGGGTGAGTGGTAATGGGTGAGTGAGAGATACAACGGCTGTGAACAGTTGTATCAGGGTATGGGTGAGTGAGAGATATAACGCTGTGAACAGTTGTTTCTTACACACCTCTGGGTGAGAAACCCATTTGAGATAACTGGTATCAAACATATGTTTGAGATCGAATTCCAGGCCGGTGATTGGCTACTCCATGGTGATGACCTGAGGTCAGATGATGACGGACTACTTTTCTGATTGCAAGTCATTGATAAGTTGCTCGTGCTTCAGTCGAATGTTCACCTACGTCTGTGTTGAACCACAGGACCATGTAATTATTATTAATAATAATAAACAAACTCGTCCTCTTCTGCGAGTTTGTTCGTTATTATTATCCAGTTACGCTATCTGTTGTTATGTCAACTTTAACGGGGTCTTTTTATAGTATGAACCCTCTGGATGCCACAACGACACATATGTCCCTCCTCTTCAACCCACACTTCGAAATCGAATAAAATTCAACATACATCACACAAACTAATACACATCACAGTTTTAAATCCCCCCTTCTGTCTATCATTTACAGTCATTTTAGGCAAAGCAAAATTAATGAAAATGACTTCTGAAAATTAGGTACGTCGTAAATCTCACCAAATCACAATTCACGGCGTTATTTACTGTGTGTTTTGAAATCTAAATATCGGATATTTACTTGAATAATTAAAGTATAAAAAAATACATATTAGTGATCACGGGTATCAAAGCACTAATGATAATTCTGAAAACGTCGCTGATAAGCCTGGAATCCTTTTGGAATGTTTTGGAAAATACGCATACACGTACGCCGAAGTGTAGGTTCCGCCATATTGGATTATGTTTACAAAATGCCGGTTATGAGACGCCTATTCGATCAGGTCTATTTCAAACTCAGCTGCTACACATGCATCCCCGAATTCCTCATACATTTCTGAAACAAATGACAAATGGTCTTTGTCACCAGTGCAAATTAAATCATGCTAAATAAATTGGGTGGGGAAACGAACACTGTGCTCGGAAAACTGTATTTGCTGAAATGTAAACAAAGCAAAATTCAGATTTTACACTCGTTTTTAGAAAGCGTATCCGACTCGCTTTCGCTCGTTAGATACGTTTTGAAACACCTCGTTGTAAGATCAATGCTATCTGACAGACTCGTGTAGTAATCTCTATATAACAGGAGATATCGCTCGGGTGAGATCAAGCGATATCTACATTGTAGATATCGCTGCAATAAAATTGCATCACAATGTTTTGCAAACCATTGTGACGTCATTGTTACATAACGTCACAATCAAATGACGTCACTAATGACTCTGCCACTGAAGCTGTGAGCAGTACTTTTTACACTTAGACACTGCTTATTACTGTCTACAAACTGAAAAAGTGGGAAGGATGATGTTGAATGATAGATAAAATCTCGCCCTCGTGTCTTTTGATATCAAATATATCACCACTCGTTGATATATTTGATATCAAAAGACACTTGGATGAGATTCTCTCTCTATGTATATATGATATATATATTTATCATTTAACTAATGCATTTATCCATGACATAAGCTTATGACATAAAAACATGTATGTCATACCCCAATGACATAAGTATGCAAATTAGATATGCAAATTAGATAACCGGAAGTGGGACTTTTTTCGCCGGTAAACGTAGGTAGGTGTTTACAAACAACATGGATACCTTTGATGTTGGAGACATTATTCTGCAAAAGTCTGTTCAAGTATTTTGTTAAAAATAATCCGAGGAACTTTTTTTCTCAGCGAAGGAATATGCCATAAAGGAGTTAAGAGGTTGTTTATTTTGGTTTACACGGCTATGGAAAACATGTATCCCTACGCACTATCTATACGTAAGATTTCGACAAGTTGCTGATGTTAATGTTTAATGCAATTATTTCTTAATTGGGAAGCAAAAATGTGAAAATGATAAATAGAATTCATCACTCGAAATATCAACCTCGTCCCGTTAATCGGTATTTGCCTCGCCAAAGGCTCGGCAAATACCGATTAACTAAGACTCGGTTGATATTTCCCATATTAAAAAAACACTCGTGATGAATCCTCTATTAAAAACAATGATTGCCAGATATGTACTAATGATGACCATGGATGACGTCATCTTCAATTTCAATGCCACAATGCGTTCATATGACGTCACGTTGCTTTTTTCTTTTCGCAAGCCATGGCACAATCTGAAAGAACTAACCAATCAACATGAAGTAAAAAACAATATAATGCTCAGCGAAAATATTACTGAAAATATGTACTGGATGTCCGTTCCCCTATTTATAATGTGATAGAATTAGGTTATTTTTTCAGTCCGTGTATTTACAGGTGAAACATCTGTAATATAGCCCTAGTATATATTTACATACACGTATGTCCATTTTTACATTTATCTACTTATCAGCATCACTGTAAACAAAAATTCAAGCAGACGATTCATGTTTTTATACTATCTGTTGTATGGAATATAGTCTACCGAAGTTGGCCACTTTCCCAGTGTGACGTCACTTTTGTAGCGCCCTGATTGCGTGTTATGAAATATATGTTGATGTTTTGACAAGCCATATGATACCGTTAGCTTGTTACAAAAAAAACGACATTGCATAAGAATGTCTACTTGTCTATGAGATGAATGATCGAAGGCCACCTGGGGAATAATTGTTTCCAGTCGCCGTATGAGTGCAGACAAAATTGTTATCCCGATTTAATTTGCTGATCAGCAATAACATGGCGGCGCAGGCTAAGGTAAGTTCGTGCAATGCATGACACTCCGGAGTTTGAACAATAGTAATGTAAACAAACCAGCAGCACACACTGATTTGTCACAAAACGGTAATGCAAATACTGTTACTTGCATAAAGTTGAGGAATTGTAGAATCTGCTGTCAACGCTGTAAGGCTCAGACTTTTTATTATTACTCGAGACAGACAGGGTCGATTTTTGTCATCTGATCAAGGCGTGAAGTCGAACATCTAAAATAAACAAACCTCTGCAGTTGCACTGTCAGCATGCAGTCTTCAAACACGACAGCAGCCAACGACGTTGCCAGCCTAAAGTTTGCACACTGCAAATGTACATTGCCCATTTAGCAGGTGAAGTTTATTTTTTAGTAGAATAACATTTAAGGCCAAGTCTTTAAATGACAAACTAAGAGCACAGCTTATCTTTAGCCTTGTGGATTGTACATATCAATTGACAGTGCAAACTTGTAAATGTAAAGATGTGTTCTAATGAAATGAATCATCTTTGACAGCCTGTCAGATGCTAGGCCATTACCGTAATCCATTGTTGAATATCATGATTTAATATGGACAAGGACAAAAAAATATCAACATTGGGCATACCCAACAAGTCCACAGTTCATTTCGGACTATTGGATCATGAAATGTAACCTTTTTTGAGAAAACCGCTACTCGTTCGCGTGGAGTAATGAATTAGTGCCATGTATAACCCTGTTGTCTTGAAGTCCATGCCCATTCCCTGATGTCTGCATATTAATTAGTTATTGAGTTTGGCATTTTGTAAGTTTAAGAAATTCCAGAAACGAAAGTGAAGTATATACTGGGCCCACTTGCTCAAAGCGATCTTAGTGCTAAGATAATCTTAACTCCCATAATAGTCTTAGCGCTAAGATTGTTTTGTGCAAGTGGGCCCAGATCATGTTGTGCTCAATGATCTATTGAACATGTTGAAATGCAGTTTGTGGCCTGTATTTTAAGAAATGTGTTATTTTTTGTGGATAGTATACTATAGAGGACTTTTTAAGTCTTTGTCATTGACAACAATGATTTTGTACATGTTTTGTGATTGATATTTTTTGAAAAGCATCTGGACAAACAGAAATGTGTTCTGCAAAGATAAGACTTGACAATGTCCCCCTTATTCCATGAGATAATAGTGGTGTGATGATTCATTGATGATTGATGCATAACAGGATGCATATTGCTGGAATAGACTATATTCCAGGGACCCGTTCCACAAAGCGATCTTAGTGCTATGACTGTCGTAAGTCAGTGTTAAAGAATGGGAGTTACGACCGACTTAGCCCTAAGAAAGCTTTGTGGAACGGGGCCCTGAGTTATTTCTACACAGAGGAAAGCCCTTTTGAAGGCGAGGCTCTGACCCAATTTCTGCCCTTTGTATCACCGCTTGCACAGTTGAACAGCGCCATCAAAATAAAACAAGTCATTACGTGGGTCACCATGGGAGTATGCTGATGTATGTATGTTCCGTTTTGTTCCACGCAAGAAACGGTCACAGGATACATGTTTTATTCCATCCAAAGAAACCAGAATGGTGACGAAGAGGTTACTTCCGACACAGAATTATAAAGTGTGCAGTAGGCATTTTGTCAAGGGACACACAAGTAAAAATCTGGATAGCTCTAACTACCTACCAACGGAGTATGTGTCAAGGCAACGGGCTACATTTTAGAACCCGACAAGACCTGTGAACAAGCGTAGCCCAAGATCAAGCGTGCTATGTCAACTTGACCTTCAAGTCGGCAGTAAGTTGAAATTTGCTCATTTTCAAACGTATGCAAATTTTTTTACCAGTAATTGCTTTCATTGAAGTATGGGAAACGCACTCAATATAATCATTCGTTTACTTTGAAAAACACCATTTTGTATAGTCAAACTTTAATGGCTTATAGAAATCAGACCGAAAACAGGTGTGTCACTGTCAGCTACTTAAGAGTTATGTGCCCTTGATGTTAGGAAAACAGCTGACGACAAGCATGACAAGATGACAACTGGGTTTTCCACCTTGAGTTAGTTTGTGAGAGATAATTTTATTATATGCTTATGTTGTTTGGTAGCAATGAATAAAATGTAAAACATTCAAAAGATGCATTATTTCTACATAATTACAAGACTTTTTCATATCAATTAAGTTTGTAGTCCCTTCTTTTTTGATTGACAAGAACAAGAATGGCAATTTATTTCAATACAGTAACATGGCCTAGAACATTTTTATGCCATTTGTTTCCGAGGAACTGCCAACAATTACTGCTGAGATAAGAAAAGTCATATTAATGTAGCTTTTGAGTTGCATCAGAGAGGATATTCAGAGAGTGGTAAAATCATTTTTTTTACTAATTTTGATGTATTTTAATTATATTTTGCAGGTTTGATCAATGCCCTACATCAAGTAGACCTCAGCTATACAGCAACGCCGCCATCAAAAGTAGAGACTTCACTTAAATTGAATTTGATGTATATGAGGTCTCAATTGTATAATGTGCATTGAAATAAAAGTGGGTAAATTCACAGTCCTCTTCCAGTACCTGTGACCTTGATAGGGTACAGTACCTGCTCCTTGTTATCAGTACCTGTGACCTTGATAGGGTACAGTACCTGCTCCTTGTTATCAGTACTTGTGACCTTGATAGGGTACAGTACCTGATCTTTGTTATCAGTTCTTGTGACCTTGATAGGGTACAGTACCTGCTCCTTGTTATCAGTACTTGTGACCTTGATAGGGTACAGTACCTGCTCCTTGTTATCAGTACCTGTGACCTTGATAGGGTACAGTACCTGCTCCTTGTTATCAGTTCTTGTGACCTTGATAGGGTACAGTACCTGCTCCTTGTTGTCAGTACTTGTGACCTTGATAGGGTACAGTACCTGATCTTTGTTATCAGTTCTTGTGACCTTGATAGGGTACAGTACCTGCTCCTTGTTATCAGTACCTGTGACCTTGATAGGGTACAGTACCTGCTCCTTGTTATCAGTTCTTGTGACCTTGATAGGGTACAGTACCTGCTCCTTGTTGTCAGTACTTGTGACCTTGATAGGGTACAGTACCTGCTCCTTGTTATCAGTACCTGTGACCTTGATAGGGTACAGTACCTGCTCCTTGTTATCAGTACTTGTGACCTTGATAGGGTACAGTACCCGCTCCTTGTTATCAGTACCTGTGACCTTCATAGGGTACAGTACCTGCTCCTTGTTATCAGTACTTGTGACCTTGATAGGGTACAGTACCTGCTCCTTGTTATCAGTACCTGTGACCTTGATAGGGTACAGTACCTGCTCCTTGTTATCAGTACCTGTGACCTTGATAGGGTACAGTACCTGCTCCTTGTTATCAGTACTTGTGACCTTGATAGGGTACAGTACCTGCTCCTTGTTATCAGTACTTGTGACCTTGATAGGGTACAGTACCTGCTCCTTGTTATCAGTACTTGTGACCTTGATAGGGTACAGTACCTGCTCCTTGTTATCAGTACTTGTGACCTTGATAGGGTACAGTACCTGCTCCTTGTTATCAGTACCTGTGACCTTGATAGGGTACAGTACCTGCTCCTTGTTATCAGTACTTGTGACCTTGATAGGGTACAGTACCTGATCTTTGTTATCAGTGCTTGTGACTTTGATAGGGTACAGTACCTACTCCTTGTTATCAGTACCTGTGACCTTGATAGGGTACAGTACCTGCTCCTTGTTATCAGTGCTTGTGACCTTGATAGGGTACAGTACCTGCTCCTTGTTATCAGTACCTGTGACCTTGATAGGGTATAGTACCTGCTCCTTGTTATCAGTACCTGTGACCTTGATAGGGTACAGTACCTGCTCCTTGTTATCAGTACTTGTGACCTTGATAGGGTACAGTACCTGATCTTTGTTATCAGTGCTTGTGACTTTGATAGGGTACAGTACCTACTCCTTGTTATCAGTACCTGTGACCTGGATAGGGTACAGTACCTTCTCCTTGTTATCAGTACCTGTGACCTGGATAGGGTACAGTACCTTCTCCTTGTTATCAGTACTTGGTGGGTACACGTGATGCAGCAAACACTCATCATGAGGAGTTTGTTCTTATGGTCACTGCAAGTGGACCAATGTTTCACGATTGCCAAACATCATCTCAGACTGACATAACTTTTTAAGTACAAAGTATGTGATCTCGACTACCAGTTGTCAGACTTTTATTTTTTGTGGAAGCCTCGCTGGCTGAGTGGGTTAGATCACTGACTTTGTTTACTGGTGATTAGGTGCCTCACTTTTGCAGTGTGGGTTCAAATCCCAGATGGGACTCGTCCCCCAAAAAGTGCGAGAATCTGTACTTTACTAAGAAAGTGTTATCCCTGACATAACATTTGTTACATTATTTTTGAAGGAAAGTTGTTGCCTTAGTTTATATTCTGAAAAAAAAATGTTTCACTTTTTTGCAATTGCCAGGAGATTTTCTGAAACATCCATAAGAAGAATATAGCTGAATATTAGTTTATTGATCAAGAATTAAGTTACTAGTGATTCTGTGGCATGTGATAGGCTTACAATGCAATTTGGTTTATTCATAAACCAAAACTATTTTAAGCCATGCCCACTTACAGACTTCTGTTTCCTGATTGGCTAATAAAAGGAGATTTACTCAGTGTGCATACTATGGCCCACTAGTGTGTACCTGTTTATTATAACTCCATACATGCAAACAAGTCAGTTCTTAAATAATATGATTTTTAGTGTTCCAATCCAAACTCATCACATAATAATTATGATAATTAAATCATTTATCATGTTCATAATCTGCACAAATTGTTTCATATTGACAATGTTAATAAAGAATTTGATGTGATAAATCATTTACCTTGACGATTTGTACCACACCATGACACAGAGATGAGTTTATATTTATAACTTTAAGGTCAGTGTTGATGAAAAATCTTATTTCAATGACTTCATCTTTTTTGTGAATAATTTCACCTTTAACCTTCCCCCTATGACCAAATATACACAGTT